TAGGCCTCCATGAGGTACCGGAATCTTCCACGTACAATTTTGGGCACATGATGGTGGGAAGAACTTTCCACAGCATAGCTTCTGGCTCCACACGTTGCTATCCTGCCTCTACTTTGCTGTCTCCGACTACCAGCGCAAGGTGCCTTGGGACACAGTCACAGTGAGAGATGACTCTGAGACTACATCTTTGGGCCGTGATGTGAGGCAAGTCTCCCCCTTCGGTAGCAGGAGTATCTCTGCCTTTCCTACACCAGGAGGGTTTGCAGTAACCCAGCCACGCAGGAGGATGGCGACAGACCATGCTAACATAACCCAAGGAAACCGAACTCCTGTATCCCCAGCCTGATAGCCTTTTACCCAGATCCTCCAAGATGTCCATGGCCACTCTAATGTCACCTGACAGGAAGGGAGGTGCAGGAGGGAAGATGGGGAAGGAAAAAGAACCAGCAATTAACCGACTGCCTTAAAATAGCGTACTTTTGCCAATTTTATAAAGACACACGAGCACCGGGGCCTCTCCCATGCAAATCGGGGAGGGAGGTCCTGAAACCTAAGCCCTCATCAGCTTCATAGTAAATCCAAGCCTTAAATCTGGAAATGCCAGACTTGTTGATAAAGCTCAATCCACCCTTCACCTCCCCCAGTAGGCTGGCTCACCTGACGTCTGGACTGAGGAGCTGGTCTTCTTAAGTCTGTAGCTAAGGGATGGTGGGGAGTGGGGGGGGGGTCCTACATAATCCTTAAAATGAATCCATATGTGGCTGGATTTGCCTGATGAGTGGGGAGGAGGGTGAGGAACCAAGACTAGCAAACAGCTATACTCAGGGTTTGATTAGCGTCATGGGGAAAGAAGTCTAAGGAGCAGCCTGGCGTGTAGTGTGGGGAACAAGGCAGGGGGTGGGGTGGGGGACAGCATGGAGTCACCAGAGTGCACGCGTGTGCACACATACCACCCGGTTCCACGCATGCGTCTGGGCACTTTGGGGATGGGCTGCCATGTGAAGCTGGAGGAGAGGATTTCTTTCTGTCTCTTAAAAAAATGTTTTAGTGTTTATTTATTAATTTTTTTTTTTTGAGAGACAGAGTCAGAGTGTGAGCGGCGGAAGGGCAGAGAGAGTGGGAGACACAGAATCCGAAGCAGGCTCCAGGCTCCGAGCCATCAGCACAGAGCCCGATGCGGGGCTCCAACTCACGAACCGTGAGATCATGCCCTGAGCCGAAGTCGGACGTTCAGCCGACTGTGTTACCCAGGCGCCCCTGGAGGAGAGGATTTCTAAAGGACCTGCTAAGTCATGGGGCACTCATAGCATCATCTGGTCAAGCCCCAGAGGATGGAATGTGTGACACGGAGCAGGGTAGCAGCCCTTTCACGTCTAAGCAGGACACAGAGTGGCTCTGGCACCGTGAAGGCTGGCCACTCTCGGAGGAGACGGCCCTGAACATGGTGGACAATGGTCCTGTGGTGGGTGCAGGTGCAGGGTGAGGCGGCCTAGGGTGCCGTGCCCAGAGAGGACATCATCGCAAGGGCCTTGAGAGGGAAAAGAGGGAAGCGGAAGATACCGCATGAAGACCACTGCTGGCACACGTGGCATATTCTCCCAGGATTCCCAAAGGACTGGGCAGGGCTCTGCAGAGGACTGAGGCCTGTGTGAGCAGGTGGGGGGCCAAACCCAGTGAGGCTGGTACGTGGTTGCCATTGACCCCTTTGAGACTGGAGTTCTGTTTCCTAGGCGTTGGCGTCTCAGCCTGCTTTATAAGAACCCCATCCAAGCAATATATCATTGCCCTGATTTGTGAAAGCTGAGGAAGGATAGATATGGAGACCTTCCCCAGGCCCATCAGTTGGGGGTGGGAGTGTCAGGTGAGACTAAGACTCTAGTTATTTATTTCTTCATTCATTTAATCGTTGTTGAACTTGTACTAAGAGCCAGGCGCTGCTGTGGGGTAAGCTAGAGCCTTCCAGCCGATGGACTGCCAAGGGAACTGGGAAGCATTGAGGAGGGCATCGCTCTGTCTCATGGGAGCTGGTGTGCATACCAAGGCAGGGACATGAAGGTTCTGGACTCTGGAGCCAAGCTGACCCGGGTTTAAACTCCTAGCCACCCATTACCAGCTGTGAACACCGAAGCAAGCTACTGAATCTCCCTGAGCCTCTGGGGGTTGCGGTCCTCACTAGCAACAATCCAGGGTTCAGCGCGGGGATTACAACGTGGATTCCACAGAAGGGTTTATAGCGCCCTTCCTCGTGCACAGGAAAGGCGTGGTGAGCGGGAGCTATTCATAGCCCGTCTGTATTCTTAGACTCTCATTGTCCCCATTTCGGAGTTGTTTGCAGCACGGATCTGGGAGCCAGACCACATGATTGCGGGAAAGCAAGCACAGCTTTCAGCACGCAGCAGCGGGAGGCGGCGCTGTGCTGTGGCCTCAGTTACACCACTGGCACACGGACAGCAGCGGGGGGGGCGGGGGGACCCCGCAGCCTGCTACCCCTCCGCGGAGAAGGGCACTGACAAATGCCATGCGGGAGATAAACAGCTGCCCACAGGAGAGCACACAGACGACACCTTCTGGAGACACTCAGGAAAACTACAGAAGGAAGCCGTGGAAGGTCGGGCGGCTGAGGTTCCCCTAGTGACAGGTGGGACCCGAGCCGGAGAAGGGAGCTTTGCTGAATTGTGTTTCTCCTTCCAGACCGGAGGCTGGGGAAATGCAACAGAAGCGACCTCCTCTTCTGAGGCCTGCGCAAGAAGGAGGCACTGGCTGGGTCCTGAAGGATGAATAGGAGTTTTCCAGGTTTAGGGGGCCACCACAGTCCTGGATGGGAAGAAATGGATATGCGGTTGGAAGGTTAAGCTGAAGACAGATTGTGGAACGCCTCCTATGCACGCACTGACCTAAGACACTCTGGCATGATCAGAGAACATGAAGAATGTTCTTTTATGCCCAGGTTGGTCTCCATCAAAATGCTCTGTCAGTTAGAAGGCAAACAAGAAGAAACTGACCTGCACTCTTAGCCTCTTGTTTTTTTCATGGGCAGGCAGTTGGGGGGAGATGAACGCCCCTTGTTGGAACGCCTCTTGCCTTATGCCCTCAGCCCCATCTGAAACACCCTCCTTCCTCTGTCCTCCGTCCTCCTCTTCCCTGCCATCCCTCCAGATCTGGAGAGCTTGTCACATCTTCCAGTCGTCTCCCCCGATTAGGCCAGTCCTCACCCGAAGTCACAAGGACAGCTGCCCGTGCCCAGACGCCACCAGCCAGATGCCGCGAGTGCTTTACTCAGCAGAGCACCCCTTCTACCAAGAGTAGGGCACACCTGTCATGTGGGGGAGACCAGCCGGGAGCAGGGATGCCGCGGTGCGAAGCACAGACAGGTCCCCGCTCTCACGGGGCTCTACCGCGCTTCCTATCGTCACAGGGACCCTGGGAGGATACACGAGATCACTGAGGCTCAGCCAGAGAGAGCATCTCCCCCAAGGCCGTAAGGCTAGTACACGGGGGGGCATCGTGTTCACCCTACACGCCCCCAGTGGCTATTTACTGTTTGGTGTGTGTGTGGGGGGGGGGGGGAGCTCTGCAACTGAGATTGCCGAAGGCCGCGGTCCAGTCTTTAGTGTCATGATTTCCCACAGCCCCTGGTACCACCCTGAGCCCCAAATACTTGGAGAGTGAGGCAAGGCAGGCCTCATCTGGCTCCCCCACCTTCCTTCTGTTTTATCCATAAATTCAGCGGCAGGGGGAGGCCAAGGGGGCTCCTGGATACTGAAATGCATCCAGGCTGCCCGTCTCGTCTCCGGTCCCCACCATCTCCTAATCTTCCTGCAGCCCTTCCAGCGAGATAGGAGGGCTAGCTAATCCCCTTGATATCCCGAATCTTCTAAAAGGACTACCTAATCAGGCCATGTATTCCAAAGGTACCGTGGCATTCCTTTTTTAAATCTTTCAGGTAAATAACGAGTAACAAATCATACAGAGCTGGTCCCATGTCAGGTGTTGTTCTAAAATGGGGTGGGGGGAGTTGGGGGTGGTTCTCGGTCAGGCAGCGTAGGCATCACCTGGGAACTAGTTAGAAATGCAAACTAAAGGGATGTGCTGGGCTGGGAGCCAGCAATCTGTGTTTTAACAAGCCCTCCAGGGGATTCTGAGCACACCAAAGTTGAGAACCACTGTCTTAAGGCTTTTCATGGATAAACTAACGCGTGGAATTCGCATCCCAACCCTCTGAGGTAGGTTCTATTGTTAACTCCGCTTTGGAGCTGGAGGAATGGAGGCCCAGAGAGGTTAGGTAACCTGCTCAAAGTCACACAGCCAGTGAGGTTGGCGCTTCTTATCCCTCACTGGGGGAGAGGCTTGACCTCAGGGAGTGTTTGGGGAGCTCACGGTGGGCTGCTTTACCACGAGGAAAAATGTCTATAGACGAGAGGCTGATGGGACCAAGAGGTCTAGTCCGACTCTGGTGGAGTAAGATACTTGCCCGGTTTCCGGGAGGTCATGTGGATCTGTGCACTGTTGCCGGCCCCCAAACAGTGAAGAACGATCTGACCAAGCATCTCTGAAAGTAGTGTTGGGGAAGAAAGAAAGCACTTTTAACATCATCCTGTGCCAAGTCCTGATTATTCCATAATGTGCTGCCCTCAGAACCTGACAGTGATTTTCCGGCCTACACTTCCAAAATCCAGTGAGGAGGAGTCAGTAGAATATTGCCACAGCCCCTGGCCTTGGAGGGATAGGGGCTAAATTTGTCCCATAACTAGGGGATCATTTCATCTTAAGGGAAATGGCTGAGAGGGCAAAAGAGCATCCAGGAAACACCACGCCCCCTCCACCAAAGGCTCTCCTGCCCGGCTGGGATTCTCCATCTGGGGTCCTGGGAGGGAGCTGCGGATGGCCACCGTGAAATGGTAGCACATTCCTGTGAGTGATACCATGCAATTTTCTTTCAAAGGATGCTTAAAGATTTTACTAGCGCTGGGGACTGGGGTGGGAGAGGAGAAGACACAGGGAGAGAAACAGACAAAAACAGACAGAAAGACAATAAAGATACAGCAATGGCTGCAGTAAACCCAACAGAGCTGGTATACAAATCTTTCAACTTTCTTCCTGTCCATTCCCCCGGCCTCATGGGGATTACCAGTCCCAAAGAACCCACACTGTGCTGAGTACCTCCCATGTGTCGCTTTGCTCAATCCTCGCCGAGCAGATTTTACTGTACCCACTTTGCAGAAGATACATGAGACACAACGAGGTTTCAGAGTTCCGTCTGCTTGTCACCAACCCCACGCGTTCTGTTATGTGACGTTGCCTCAGCGAGTCTTGATTCTTTTCCCTGCAAAGCGTGTCTCCAGACACACAAATTATTGCTGCCTTAAGATAAACTATGGAATGCTTCTTTCATTCTTCTTCTCATCGCTGGAACTTGTTCCGGTACTTTTTTTCTCTATTCTCATCTCATGGACACATGAACTTGTCAAGGTAGTCCCGGTGAAAGTATTCTTTTATCTATAAGGACGTGAAATTGGCCCTGTTTGTTAGGATGTAAGTGTTGGTTCTCTGACCCCATCAAACACCCCACTCATGACAAGCCTCCTCACCTGAACCAGAAGATCTCCTAGTTATTCGCTGAAGAAATAGTTGTTCATTTCAAAATTTTCAAAATAAATGCTGAAGGTCAAAAGGGTACCTTGGGCCTACTTTACCTCTCCTTCTTCCCAAATCTTATTGAAATAACAGTAAATAAATGCGAAAGAATAAATCCATATCAAGCATGAAAAGATCCCAGCAGCGATCCAGAAAATTTCACAAACGCCTAGAACACAAAGAGGATGAGGTCATATTGACGGATGAAGTTGAGTGGAATAATCTACACCCCAAAAACACATAGAGGAAGAGAGAACTAGCCTGGGGAAGGAGGTGCCCTTCCCAGAAAAGCCCTGGGGAGACTCCCAAATCAGAACCATAGCTATGAAGAAAAGGGATAGGCTGTGGGGTCACTATTAAAGGCCTTTCTGAGTTTTACAGCCCCCAACCTTCCTCCATGGACAGCAACTGGCTGTGACGGCATTTGCTTGGGTAAAAAAAAAAAAAAAATCCACTTGGCCTTGGCTTCTGGAACATCCCCTGCCCAAGGTCCCCTTGTTAAATGATGCAGATGTGGTTATATTCCTTGGTTCTGCAATATATAATATTTTTATAATCACAATATTCTATACCCTGTGTATTGCTTTTCAGAATTTCTCTTTTTTTTTTTTTTTTTTATTTACTTACTTTGAGAGAGAGAGAGGGACAGCACAAGTGGGGGAGAGGCAGAAGGAGAAATCCCAAGCAGGCTTCCCGCTGTTAGTGCACAGCGCGATGGGGGGCTCGAACCCACAAACCGTGAGATTATGACCTGAGCCAAAACCAAGAGTCTGACGCCCAACTGACTGAGCCACCCTGGTGTCCTTGTGTTTCAGGTTTTCCAACCAACCTACAGATGAAACCTGGAAGACCTAGAATATAAATCGTAAAAACCCTGAAAAAGTAAAGCGAATACTACAGTTCGGAGAAGGAAGTGGGGAAGGTGGGGGAGGGGAAGGCAGCGCAGGTGTGCTTCTGGCTCAGGTTACAGTCATCCATGCAGCAAATAGCCAGCAAGTGCCTACCTGTGTTGGGAAGGTCCTGGGCCCTGGGAGGTGGCAAGGAGCCAAAGGGGCAGACATTTCTGTGGCATTTCTGTTCTACCTGCAAGTCGACAGGTACTGCGTAACAGCTGAGGAATCACAACATGAAGATTTAGGTACATTATTTAAAACTATGAAGGTGACCAGGAGATTATGAAGACAGCGGTCTTAGGTACAAAAACACAGAGGAAAGGAGAGAGAGCGTAATTGTGCTAAAATCCCTGTCATAGCAGAGGGAGAACGGATGCAATTTAAACACGTTCAAGACACAGCTGTATAAGGGAATTATCTAAGTTTGTAGTAGAAATCGCCAAAACTAAATACTGACATAGTTAGGGAGTCACGTCCGGGGCACGGACCCACAGCTGGGGCCTGAGAAAGAGACCCCCCCCCCCACTCCAACAGCCCTTGGTAGTTCTGGTTTTGTTCTTGTGCCTGTAAATAAATATTACACATAAATGAATTAAATGATCAAAAGCAACCTTACAAACCCTGGGAGAAATGTAAAGTGGATATTCCGAGGCCCACTTGACCCATGAAGAAACAGGAGTCAGCCTGCCTCAATACTTGTGATAAGAAACCAGGTCTCCTGCCCCCCCCCCAAATTCCCGCCACATCCTGAAGGCTTCTCCCCCCGCCAGGTGCAGACTGACTAGGGTTGGGGTTCTCGATTCAAAGCGGGGAACTTTGAGCGGCTCACTGCTCATCATTAACAACAGGGAGATTCTGACCACGACCCCAAGGGCTGTGGAAGGAGGGGGCAGGCGGACGGCCTCATGCAGGCCCGGGCCACAGCTGGCCCTCGGAGTGTCAGCTTCCTTTCTTCATGGTTCTTTTCTAACCCATCCAACATTTGGTACATGGCTACCATTCTCTTCTTATTTTATGTGATTTCGCGCTAATTCTGACTAAATGAATCCAGAAATTCATTCTGATGTGCAGGCTTTGTCACGAGTCGAGAGGTAGAGGATGTCACGTTTATTTATTTATTTAAAAAAAATTTTTTAAATGTTTGTTTATTTTTGAGAGAGAGAGAGAGAGCGCGCGTGAGCATGAGTGGGCGTGTGTGGACAGCATAGAAGGGCTAACGATGGGCTAGGTAGGCACTTCACAGACATTAGCTCACTTAAGCTTCACAACAACCCTATGAAGCTGTCATTATTACTTCCATTCTACAGGTGGAGAAACTGAGGCACAGAAAGGCTAAGTGCCATACCCGAGCCACACAGCTGTGTGACAGAGCCAGGAGCAGACCCCAGGCATCTTGACTCCAACGTCATGCTCTGCACCATCACGCTAGAAACCCAGTCCCCACCCCGTAACACACACACACACACACACACACACACACACACACAGGAGGACTTTCAGAGAACTCCTGCTTTCAAGAACTCCTAGCTGCCAAGTTCTGCCTTTTAGAGCCTGTGAGACACTGAGAACATGTTCCTTAACACGTGCAAGTGCTTACCTGACGTTAACTTAGTCTCTCTCACCCCCGAGCCCAGAACTAGAGCTGAAGGGTGGGCCACAGGACGCAGACAGGAGTTCACCCTGAGAAGTATAATAAGAACCAAGGACTTCTCTAGTTGGTAATGAGCTCCCTGTCGGCAGAGGCGGAGAGCTCTGGTAGGCCCAGGCCAGGGATGGTGGGTGCCCCGGGGGCCAAGGTTGGAAGAGCCTCGAATCAAAGCCTCTTCCAGCCCTGGCCCTGGCAGTCAATTTGGACACACTTCTCCGGACCTTCTGTCACAAAGCAGTACGCTCAACCAACAGGAGATGCATGAACAGTAAGGCCTGACCCAGACTCTGAAGAGTTTACAATGCGATTCTCAGATTGTTTTAATATCAAATTCAGGGAGTTTCTGGGAGGAATTTAATAAAAAGGATGGCGAGAATCCGTTCCTTTCATCCCCTAAGGAGGCTAAGTCCATCCTGACCTGTCCACTCACTCTTTTCTGTTCTTTGTCTGCTTCCGGAGCGTGCTATGGGGATTCAGGCTTATATGTTAAAAAAAAAAAAAAAAAAAAAAAAAGGCATAATATGTTCTGTGTCTTCGCCTCCGCAGAGGAAATGCTCTGTGTTACTGTAAATAATAATTTGCAGGTCAGTGAAGGTTGTTAAATGTCCCTGATGTTTTTCTCACTTCCTTCCAGACTCTCGTAATTACTACTGCTCTGAACCCAGCGGGCAGAGATGCATATTTCTCTGTCCAGGAAATGATAGTCGTGTGGTACCCTCTTCTCACTGCAGTGGGAGCCTGCGTGTCTGTGTATCTGAACCCATATCAGAGTCGTTCACATCCCTGCATGGAAATAGCCACATGGCAACTCAGCAATTTATTGCCCAAAAGACCTGGGGCTAGGGGTCATGGCACTCGGTTCTAGACAGTTCTACCGCCATCTGCGTGACCTCAGACCAGTCACGGAAACTCGTGGGCTTGTTTCTTCATCTGTAAAGCCGAGAGCACAATTCTTACCTTGACTAGAAAATATCATTGCTGCAAGAATTCGTACTTTTATTCAATATTTCATATTGAATTTAAATATTTATGGATCATCGCTCAGGGGCAGGCCTTGTGGTAGTCTCGGGGAAGTGGGGGGCGGTGCAGTTGTAAACAAACTGGGTAAAAATCTCTCTCCCTAGAGCTCCACGGGGGGAAGCAGATAAATAAGTGAGTAAACTAAACGTGTAGAATTTCCAACGGTGATAAGTGTCTTGGCAAAATAGTCAGACACGAAGGAGAATGAGGAGTGCTGAAGAGAGACCAGGGAGGGCATGTCTAAGAGGCGGCTATTGAGACTTAGGCCCAAAGGATGCAAAGAAGGGACCCCAGAGAACATTTGCGGGAAGAGTATTCCAGGTGGTGCAAAGGCCCTGAGGCAAAGGTGAGTGAGCCTGCACATTAAAAAACAGCAAGGCCAGAGCAATGGAAGGGATGAGGGTGGGGGGTGTAGTAAGTCTGAGGCCCTAAGGAAATGGGACCAGATGGATTAGGACCTTGTAAGGCCTTTGACTCTGACTCTGAGTAGGATGGAAACCACTGGAAGATTTTCAGCAGACGTATGACATAATCTGACTTGACTCTTAAAAAGAATCTCTCCAGCTGCTCTGTTTAGAAAAGAGAATCAAATGAGGGGCACCTGGGGGGTTCAGTCGGTTAAGCAACTGACTCTTGGTTTCAGTTCAGGTCATGGTCTCACGGTTCGTGAGTTTGAGCCTTGCATCAGGCTCCGCACTGGTGGTGCGGCCCCCGTTTGGGATTCTCTGCCTCCTGCTCTCTGCCCCTCCCCCACTCACGCTGTCTCTGTCTCTCTCAGAATAAATAAGTAAACTTGAAAAAAAAAAATAGAGAAGAGAATCAAATGAAGTAAATAGTCCCTGAGATGTTCTGAAAAGCGCAAGGTACAACATGAAAATGAAGTACAGTAAAAAACTCAGCGCCCCCAGAACTCCCTGGGAACAAGTTGCTCTGGAGACCTGGTGAAACTACATAGGACCATATATTTACTGTCATCTTCTCCATGGAGAGGCGAAGTTCATGTCCCTCCCCTTGAATCTTATTGGCTCTGCAACTCCTTATCGAATCAGATATGGCGGGAGTGATGCTGGGCCTGGTCTAAGGCCGGCTTTTTTGAAAAACGGGCAGGGCAAGGGACAGGGTGCTGCCTCCGCGGCCAGAATTCTCTTGCCAGCTTACTTGAGCACAGTTCTCTGTAGTGACCCGTGTGTCTCTACTGAGGCCAGGAAGCCCAAGCAACCCCCTCCCGTGAGCGATCGAAGCCCGGGGGGAAATGGTTTGTTCAGCTCCAACCACCCACCAGCCATGTGATATTGGGGGAGCCGCCTGGGCTCTCTGAGCCTTATTCAAGGTAGTAAGTTCCACTATCCAGGATTGTTATGAAGAATATGTAAGATGGCGCCTAGCGTGGTATCTGGCACTCAGCTCCCCATCATTAGTGTGTGTGTGCGTGTGTGTGCGTGTGTGTGTGTGCGTGTCCAATTTCAGATTTAGCCCTAACGCAGAGTATGAGGCTTCCTCTATGGCTGGATCAAAGTCTGTCTTTCCCCCTGTACCTTTACCTACCTGATGGAACTGTTCCACCTCTAGACCCTCCCCTGGGGGGATAGAGTGGCAAAGGTAGGAGACTGTCCAGGAAAGACCTCTACTGAGATGTGTATAGCTCATGGGAGGGGCTGTTGAGGGAGCCCTGTTGGAACCGAATCCAAGTCTGCTGATTCCTGCTTATGGGCCACTCTGCTGGGCAAGGGCTTCCCTGAGGATGGGGGAAGAAGAGTGGCTTGCCAGAGTGAAACGTTTGAAGAAGGGACACAACCCTCGAAGCCAGCAATGAGATGCAAATGCTGCCCACCCCACACCTCCTCCCTCAGTTCCCTGAGGACTGTGAGGCCCCCAATACTTGTTTTGGAGAGACTTTTCATCAGTGCTCAGAGGCAAGAGGGGAAAAAAAAAGAAAAAAAAGAAGACCAGTAAATCAATAACAGATTTTTCTTCCCATCAGTTGGTTTAAAGTATGGAGCCAACGTCAACCAATCTAGAATTTCCAAGTTGTAAATAAAAAATTGAATAGTAAGATTTTTATCTGAGCCACTTCATGAAAGCCACTATTCAGAGTTCTGGTTTATCACACTCCTCACGTAGTCTGAACTAAGGTGTGGGTACGACACCCACCTCATGCCAGTCCAGGAAATTCAGTGGGAAAGTTTTCATTTTTTACGTAGCTTGGCTATGATACTTGGATACAGCACTTCTACTGAACCTTCCAACTTATTTTCCTCGACAGGTCTCTTGCACCCTGAGCAAATCATAGAGAACAGGCCAGTGAAGGATGCTACAGGACATTTGAACAGCCTCATTGTTCAGGACTAGATGGTCAATCAACATGCCCAGAACTGTATCGGATAATGCGGAGAATTACCATAACGACGATAACAACACTCTTAATGACAGCTACTATTGATTGAACACCTGCTATATGCCAGGCGCTGCACTAGCCACTTTTCCTATCTTATTCCTCATTCTTCCAAAAAATGGACAAAGTGGTCGTTTTTCCATTATCTCCTTTTTATACCCAAACCGAGACTTACAGAAGTTAGGTAAGTGGCTCAAGGTTGCACAGCCTGTGAGAATGAAGTCATAAGCTAATTTCCTTGTTCCCAGAGAGTTTGAAGAAACACCAGTTCTCATCAATTACCCAAGAATGTTCTCTCACTTCCAGCCATCAAGTGAGATTCATCCAGACAATAAATATGTATAAAGCACTTACTCCGCGTGCCGGCAAATACAACCTTGGCAACAGAGGAAAAAACATGTAAAGCAATTATTTATTCAACTTTGTGGAACATAGTAGAAGGTCAGAGAGACAGGCCAGCATGGGCCAGAGAAGCCAGGGAAAGTGGCACAGAGTGAGTTGGATCTTGAAAGATGAAAAAAAAATCATTCAAAGGGCATTGCTAGTCAGGGGGACACAGTAGGCAAAGGCATTGAAGCACAAATGAACAGGAGAAAGCAGGCTGGAAGGAAGTGAAAATAAGTCTTAAGTGGAAGAATGAAACTAGTCTTACTCCCCATAAGGTTGGGGGGTGAGGAATAGCATTTGTCTGGGAATTTAATTAAACTATTGCAAATGATAAATACAATGCTTCATATTTCTTATTCTCCCAAAGTTTAAGCGTACTTTTAAAAATCAAAGAGGAGGGGCTCCTGGGTGGCTCAGTTGGTTAAGCATCTGACTTTTTGATTTTGGCTCAGGTCACAATCTCAGGTTCAAACCCTATATCAAGCTCTGAGCTGACATTGTGGAGCCTGATTGGGATTTTCTCTCTCTCTCTCTCTCTCTCTCTCTCTCTCTCTCTCTCAGCTTCTCTGCCACTCACACTCTCTCTGTCTCTCTCAAAATAAAGAAATAAACTTTTTTTTAAAGTCAAAGATGAGTGAAAAACAAATGACCAACCAACACTACTCTGTTTTAATACTTGAATCATGAACTCTACTATGAGAGAAGCAGTTTACCAAAGCAGCTTACCATGGTGGTGCAGTTAAAAAAGGGTTTCTGTCCCTTTCTGTGGGTTGAGACTGGAATTTTTTCTGAAAAGTGATCTTTGTCTTCAGAAGATTCCTCTATATGTGTGTATACGTGTGTATCTGTTTCAATAATACTCCAGAAAAGTGGAAAGATAAGAAAGTGTAACTGCCCCTTACCTTGGTGTGGAAAGCTCTACAGGGACCAGAACCATTGTGTTCCCCTCCCAGTGGATTTGTTTGAAGGTCTTGGAATGTCAAAGGCTTCCATGGAATGCCCTACTGTCCTACATTCTTCCCAGGAATCTCCCAAGATGGCAGATTATTCCAGACTGAATAAACTCCAATATATGGGGGAAACTCCTGTAGGGTAAAGGGGTGGAATCTATGGTTAAAGAAACTCCTACAGCTAGAAGGGCACTTGCCCTAACGGTAAAATACACACAATGAAAATAGGAAGAAGGAGATGTTCTTGCAAAGAGAAAGAGACCCAAGGACAGAAATGGGAGTCAAGATGCAGAACTGGAACCACTTTTGAAGGTACCATTCTAAGATGGTTTAACTTCTTGTATGCTTGTGCTATGGGTAGTTAACATTTAGGTATAGTTTTAAGTGGTTTTCTTTCATGGCACAGCCTGTTAGCTGTCTTCCTTGTGGCACCCTTCAATTGTACAAATTCGCTTCTGGAAAGTAAGTGCTTGGTCTGAGGCCTCACCTTCCAGCTCTTTTTGCATCCAAGTAGGGGCACGTGGCATGCGCCACATCATGTGAGGTCTTCCAGGGCCTGAAATGGATCTTTCACTGGCACGGAAAGATCTTACTCTTTCAAATCCTTGCTTGCTTCCTCATAGTCTAGGGAAGTAATATTTCAATCATCAGGAAAATAACAATATGCTAAAATTAACAACTTACAGGTTAGACTGTGTGTCCGCACAGGTGATCCCATTTGATATCAACCAGAACACTCTGAGGTGGGGATGACACCTACTCTTGTCCCCATTCCAGAGAGGAGGAAAGTGAGATTTGCGTCTTAAAAAAATTGGGTAAGTGGCAGAGTCATAGCTGAATGGACGCTCTGTAAGAGATAGTTTGTGGGTCATTCCCCATGAAATAGCTTTGCCTTGTTCCTTGCTACTTTCGTGGTGCCAGCTTCATTCCCTTCCGATTTTTCCATGATGGAATTCTTTCACTTTCGCACTCAAATTGGTGAAGGACCAAAGAGTCCTCCCTGGTGCCCGTGGCTTCACATTGAATCTCAAACCACAAGGACAGTGGGACATGTAGAGTATAATTGAAACCGAAGTCAAAATATTATGGCAGTTGGCTAAGTCTCCAGATACAGGAATCTTTGCTTAGGTTACTTGTCCAAGATGGAGCCATGAAACACCATCCCCAGCCATAAATTACACTCAGTCAATAAATATGTTTACAGCAGTGTTTCTCAAACTTTTTTTTTTAAACCTTTATTTATTTTCAAGCAACTGAGAGACACAGTGCGAGGGAGGAGGTGCAGAGAGAGAGGGAGACAGAATCCGAAGCAGACTCCAGACTCTGAGCTATCAGCGCAGAGCCCCTGACACAGGGCTAGAATCCACCAACAGTGAGATCATGACCTGAACTGAAGTCGGACGCCCAACCAACTGAGCTACCCAGGGGCCCCTCAAACTGTTTTTTAAATTATAACTCCCCTAAGGAGCCTTTAGATCTTTTTCACCCAATCTCCCCATGAAAATTTAGTGCCACAGATATACTGTATATCGGCTTATGCAATGTGGCCCTTCGAAGGGCCATAAACCATTTCTAAGGTTTTTCTTACGCCCTTCCCCCAAGAATCACCCTGGAGGGTGCTCTCATCTCCACTGAGAATGCATGGTTTAGAGCGCTCCCCATGTGTGAAGGGTATCAAAGTGAGGAGAAGAGAGCTGATCCCTGCCCTCAAAGGCTTACTGTCCAATATTCAGTAGGCTTTGTCTTGCATCATCAACAATTCTAGTAAAAGAGAGAAACCAGAGGCTCTGGGCTAATTTCTGTCTAAACCGCCAAAGTTGATTTTAAGACCCTTCTCAATCCAGGAGTTTAGTAGCATTAGATCGGGTTTCAGTTCTGAGCCATCATCAGTGGGGGCTCTACATACAAAAAAAAAAAATTGGCAAAGACTTGTGGTCTGTGTGGAAATATGGTTGGGAGGCATTCACCACACATTTATGGCACGAAGAATAATTTCTGCTAAAAAAAAAAAAAACCTGTTTATAATGAAACACAAGACAGAATGGAACAAATTCCTCCAAAAAATTAAAAATGTTTTTTTTCAATCACTTCTATTGAAAATCCATTCAGCGGGATTTAAATAGCCGACCCTACTCAAGATAATGTTTCACTTTCTTTAACAAGGGAAAGAATTTGAAGCTGAAAAGCCAACTGCTACTTCATTACTTTAATGGAAATCCCCTTGAATTCTATGATCCACTCAATCACAGGCTCGTAGATTGAGTCACAAAAAGGTACTGAACCCTAAGAAAGGGACTCAACGTGAAAGTCATTCCATTTCACTTTAGCGTCTAAGAACATGTTATTGTAATACTTCTGGTGGGTGTGGGGGAGAAAATTAAACATGTGCCATGTTCCTTCATTCAGCAAATATTTATTAAGTGCTGCTTTGTGCTCGGTACCATGTTAGGTGTTTTTAAAAACAGAAGTGCATTAGGGACTTATTCTTCATATGTGAGGCATTCGAAATGCAGTAGTGGAAAATTATCACATGGGAAGCGGGAGGCTTGAGTTCTAGATCCACCTCTGCGTCTAGCCGTGTGAACCTCTCTCAGTTGTCTAATGTCTCTGGGGCTTGATTTCTCCATCCATAAAAATTAACAGTTTATGCTAAATACTGGTTCTCAGTTCTGACTCTACCCCGGGACCTTCGAGGATATACTAATGCTGAAGTCCTATATAAGACCAATTGTATCAGAATCTCTGGAGGTGGGGCTTGAGGGTAGGTATTCTTTTAAAAGTTTCCCCCCCAGGGATTCTTCCAGTAATGTCTTTGCTGAAGGCCAAAGACAGAAACCTAGAGAGGGACTCACCTAAAAACAAGATGGCTGCTCTGACTTCCTAACCATGAGCAATTCTGAATGAAAAGAAGAGTCCATGGTTTGCTTCCATGACTTCCAGTTTCTGTTTTAGCATATTGTGCTTTCCTTCTTCCTTCTCCTTTTTCCTTCTGTTTCCTTTGTCTCCTGACCCACCTGATATGGCCGAGTGCCCACTGTACTTTTCTTCTGCTTTTGGTAAAACATACAGTAACATTCATTTGCAGCTAAAAGAGAATTCATCTAAGAGACAGGAGCAAGGCTGACAACAAACCCTGTAAAATAGTACCTTCCCTCCCCACGTGGAAGAGTCATGTGGCCTTGAAAATTAGAAAATTTTCAGATAATTATATAAGTTTTTTCCAGGATTTAACCTAAAGAGATAAGAAATTTGGAATGGATTGAGAAATCTTCTGGTCAAACACTTCTACCCAATGCTCAGGTTCCCAGGCCCATGAGGCCAATTTTTACTTGTGGATGTTCCTCTTTAAAAAATGGATATTCCAAGGGTACCTGGGTGGCTCAGTTGGTTAAGTGACCGACTCTTAATTTCGGCTCCGGTGATGATCTCATGATTCACACGTTCAGGCCTCTCGTTGGTCTCTACATTGACCATGCAGAGCCTGCTTGGAATTCTCTGTCTTCCACTTTCTCCACTCCTCCCCCTCTCACTCTCTATCTCTCTCAAAAATAAATAAATAAGCACTAAAAATTATTTTTAAAAAATGAATATTCCATTACATTCAAATGTTCTTTTAAAGATGTCCAAACACTGAAAACCCCAGGTTCCTCTGGAAAGTCCGGTTTTATCTGCCTGAAGATACTGAGCTATCTAACTTGAACACAGTAACTTGAACGTAGAAGGTGTTCAACGAATGTTCCCTTCTCCCTTTTATGAAAGAAGCGTGTTCTACATTGTTAAAGTTAAAATGGACATTTTTGCTCAATACCTTTCTTTCAGCCCCAAGCTAAAAAACCTTTCAAGGGACAAGAAGAGTTCCCACCCAACTTTTATTCCTCACCACTTAGCAGAGTGTGTGGCACTAGAATGAATGAATGAATGGATGGATGGATGAGCAATGGTCTCAGTGGAAGTTTCTCCTACAATTTTTTTTCTTATATAAATCATTCTGCTTTGCATATACATTAAACTGCACTATTTACCACCACAGAAAGATCTGGACTACTTCAAGATTAAGTAACCCTTTGACCATGCTTAAATGGCAACCACACCATTTGTCCCGTGGCCACATGGTACCCTTACTACCTATGAAATTAGTGCCCACAGTGGTTGTGACATCCTATGACTTTCTACTCTGGCTGTCCCATCTGGTCCCGTAAAAGTGCCCTGGAGTCTCGGTTGAGAGAAGGTTAGTGATTCACTCAGATCACATTCAATAAACTACTTAAAAATTTTTATTTTGAAATAATTATATATTCGTAGGAAGTTGCAACAATGTACAGAAGAGGTCTCATGTGCCCTTCACTGAAATTGTCCAAATATGCAATCTGCTAGAAAAACTTTGATCAAGTCTGTTCGTGTGAAGGAATGGGAAACTCAACACACTTGGTTTGCCCAGAACGGAGGGGGTTCCCGGAACATGGGACTCTCAGTCTTAAAACCAGGACAGTCCCAGGCAAACTGGGACAAGTTAGTCACCCTAGAAATATCCATATTAAACTGCTAAGCAAGCAATATTTGGGGGGAATATGTCCCCACTGCTCCTTTTGTGCCTCTTCTACAATTGGTTTCCGTCACCCCCACTATGGCTCTCTGGCTGTTTCGTTTCTCTTGCTTGCAGACTCTCACCTCCCACTACTTGTATCTATCTTTCCTCCCAGATCTCTGGTGGAGAATTATCCTCTCACGTTTTCCTGAATCCTCCATTAGCTATCAAAATTTGTATTTTCTCAACTCACACTGCTGGTCTCAATAAGATATCAAGAGGAAAGCCTTTTATTCCATTGCAGTGAAATGAGCCTTGAGCACGGAACAGGGGACAAGGTTGACACCCCTCCTCCCGTCACTGCTTGGCTGAGTGACTTTGCAAATCATCTTCAAGCTCTGGGCATCTCACTCCAAA